ATAAGTTGAATGATTCACTGTATTAAACCATACACTGATAACGACTTGAAACTCTTTGCCGATGGTTAAATCAAAATACCAAGATTTATCACACGCAACTACCCTCTTCTCACCAATCTTACACTGATTCTGTGATTCAGCGTGCCAAAAACACACGCTGATGAGGGTCTAAAATCTTTGCCGATGGTTAGATCAAAATACCAAGATTTATCACACGCAACTACCTCTTCTCACCAATCTTACACTGATTCTGTGATTCAGTGTGCCAAAACACACACTGATGAGAGTTTACAGATCTTTGCCGATGGTTAGACCAAAACACCACGGTCTATCACACGCAACAATCCATTCTCTACCCCCTTCTTATTCAGTGTCTAATGATTCAGTAAGATAAACCACTTACTGATGAACTCACAACAATCTGTGCCGATGGTTAGATAATGTAACTAGTATCTATCACACGCACCAATCTGCTTGCTAGCCCAGTTTATGCAAGTTGTACCTTGAATTGATGGAGAATTTCTCAGCACATAACCTTTGTGACTATGAACTCAGCGCTTCCGCAACCTCTGATTGACGCTACACCTTCAGTCAACGGCTCTTTTCTCCAACGGCTATTTTCTATTCTGACAGATTGTTACGCTGCGCCGATTTTTTTCGAAAAGATAATTATTACCTTTTTCGAATAAAACACATAAAAGGAAACCCTCTTCATTCCATACTTAACTCACTTTATCCCTTGGTTTAATTTTTCCTCCCAAACCTTTCTCCCAAAACCCTAGATTTCTCAAATACTCTCCAATGGCGGCATCTCTGTTCACCTACTCATCAACATCTCGAAGAGTCACTCCTGCCCCAAACTCTCCTCCACTTCCAATTCACATCAAGGCCACCAATGTAGTATTCAACCCTGACATTCCAGAGGTTCATCGAGGTCTTGGACTCGATGATTTCGTCAATTTCTTGACTTCTTGCCGCCTCCGATACGCAATCAGTGACGTACCATCCGAGTTCTTCCCTGAACAAGTATGTGAGTTTTACTATACTGCAACAGTTAATGAAGAAAACAATGCCATCACCGGAACAATTGGCCGTGGCAGACACTCCGTCTTTATCACTGCAGAGCTTCTCAGCGCTGCTTTACGATTACCTCTGTTCGAACCTTTTTCTGAACCTCCAACTATTGAAAGATGTAAACGCATGTTTGATCAACTGGGCTATGATCATTCAAAGGCTGGTACTCGATCAGCCCTTATTTTGCGTCAGTGCATGACCGCAGGATGGAAGTTTTTCACTGGTGCCTTGTGCAAGTGTGTGGGTCACAAGTCTCGGAGTGGTGATCAATTGAGTAATTATGAGCAACAAGTCGTCTGCTCTCTTCTTCTCAACAAAAGACTGGATTATGGGGCACTATTCTTTGATCAGCTTGTTCAACTTCTACGTGCAAATGTGCGTGATGATCATGTTCCCTTTCCTCGCTGGATTGCCCTGGTGTTCGACAAATTCTTCGCTGCTGATTATTTTTCTCACTCTGGGAATCCAATCCAATGCCCTCGCATGTCCGTTCGCATGTATCAGGATGATCCTTTAGATTCAGACATTGGGATCTCAGATAGGATGAGAGAATGGATTGCTCATCCATACACTATGCCTTCTCTCTCAGCTGATACTGATGACGGAGGTGCTGATGGTGATCATGTGGATCATGCTGATCAAGAAGTGGATCGTTATGATGGCGGTCATTCCTCTCCTCCACCTTCTCCTCACCTTACCCCTGTCACTGGTCCTGCCTCCTCAGCTCCACAGGATCTCATGTCTCAAGGGGAGCAACCATCTCAGGGGGATCATCAGTCTCAGGGGGAGCATTCTTCTCAAGGGAGCAACCATCTCAGGGGATCTCAGTCTCAGGGGGAGCATTCTTCTCAAGGGATGCCTCTCTCCGGGGAGCATTCATCCCCAGCAGCTCGCCACTTCTCTCCAAGGATGCAATCCAGCTTTCCAGTTGCTCCAGGAACATCCATGATTCAAATTCCTGCTTCCACATTCTCTGAACTGATGTCACTGACTCGGACATGAGTCAGCGTCTGCTTAATATTGAGGCTGATGTTCAGCAAATCAAGGAGGTTCTTTTACTTACTCCTGCTTCCGTCCCATATCCAATGATGTTCAAAAAGGGGGAGATACTGATGATCACGCTGATGATCATGCTGATAGCGATCAAAATGCTCATGCTGATGAAGATCAAAATGAAAAAGACACAGCAACTGGTGACAACAGTATTCTTCAGCATGACTCACTCAACCCCGTTGAAGAAGCTGATCCTGCGAGACATGATAGTCCAGCAGCTACTGAAAGGTTATCTGATGATAGTGAGCATAATGATGAACACGAATCTGATTCTGCGGGGCATAGTAGTCCAGCAGCCACTGAGAAATTATTTGAAGATAGTGATGATGACGAAGAGCGTGATGAACCTGATGATGAATGTCAAATTTTTGACATGAACTTTATTGATCCTCTCATTCCAGATTCAGCAAGAAAGCTTAGATGATCTTGAAGAATCTATTCCGATACTTGCCGATCCTATTGCTGATTCAATCATTCCGGTCCAAGGAGAAGATTCGGACATTGCCAGTGAAGAATCTCATCCGTTGTCTCGAAAGCGGAAAGTAGAAGATACTGACTTGGATCATTCTCAAACTGATACTTCTTCAACTGTGAAGAGACCAAAGTCCATCGTCAGTATTTCAAATCTTGCCACTGAATGGAACATGTCCCCTGATCAAGTTAAGCAAATTCTTGATGAAGCAAATCAAGCTCAGCTTCTAAAGAACATTGCTCAAGCTGATGAATCTCTCATTCAGCACGAACTTCAGGCCAAGGGATCTTTTGAAGCTCAAATGCAAAAGTTTCTTGAATTTCAGTCCAGGGCTCAGTCTTCTCAACCTCCTCCTAGTTCTAGCAAGCCCAAGACTGACAGTGTTCTTGACCGGATTGATCGAAAGAGATTTGAAGATGTTCTCAACCGGCGGATGTGTGGAGATAAGATCATCAAAGTCAAAGCTTCTAAGTGGAGATAAGATCATCAAAGTCAAAGCTTCTAAGCCTCGAAACGAGAAAATTCTTACATTGCTGATCACTCGTCAAGGTCCTCAGCACTCTTATACTGAAGTTGTTAAGAGAGATGAGCTGATCAGGTATGGGTATTCGGAATGGATGGAACTGCTTAATCTTGCATCCAAGCAAACCTCAGCTCATTCTTCTGAACTGACTTGTGCTCTTCACTTGCTGATTAAGAAAGTTCAGCGTTTGGATCTTGTTCCTAAGGAACGATCTCAGCATCAAGGTCAAAGGTTGTCAGCTCATAAATCTCGAAGAACCAAGTTTCATGTCGATGGCGAAGATGTGTTGGTTCTAGACTTTGGTGCTGGTGCAATTAACAATTCACTTCCTCTGGGTGTTGATCCGGTTCAGCATCAATTCATCTCAGCTCCTGAGCACGGAATGTTCTATCTAGATAAAAACAGGAGGATGTGCTTTCAAAGAACCACTGAGATCCCAAAGGCTCCAATCACTCACCTTGTTGGCTTAAGGCAAATGTGCATGAGTCATCAAGATCTATCTGGAGAATTTCACATCCTTATTGCTATGGAGCTGCTGAACAGAAGACAAGAGTTGCTGGACAGTCCTTACTGGCCAGTTAAAATTGAAGCTGAAGCTGAGTATGAAGAATTTCTCTCAAGAGGTGTATTTATTTAGTTTGTTTTGAACATCATCATATTGGGGGAGATTGTAAGGTCGAACCTTGAAATATGATTATGTTTAAAATAAACTCAGCGTCAGCACGATCAGCGTCAGCTCTAACATATTTCCGCTGTGTCTATATTAGCTTAGTTTACTCAATGTATATGTATTTGATGTAACAGATTCAGTATTTATCTTGTTTCCATAGTTATCATGTATAAGATAGCTGTAATATCCCTGATTTGTAGGGATTGTCTATAATTGTTCTATATAGTCTTTTGTATGGGTTTGTAAAGACGTTGTCTTTCACAAACCCTAATTGTCGCTTTGTTCACACGATAATCTCTTTGTGAGATTATCTTTCTTAGTGAAAGTTTTCTTCGTGAATATCTCTTGTTCTTACTCATTGTTTGTTTGATCGATTGATCTTAAGGTCTCTTCACTTTGGTTCTTGAAATGACACTAGTTGACACTTGTTGAGGTGAGGGCAAATTTCAAGATAGTAGTGACTATTCTCTCAAAGTTCCAAGTTTGTGGTGATTTGTGATTTCCACTTGAGGCATCCACACTATTGGTGCTAGGCTCTCCAAGCAATCAACTACAACTTCAAGGTAAGTATTTCTTCTAGCTTTATTTGATTTATGTTCCCCATGCCATGCTAGCTGGGATATAAACCTTGGAAAATTAATTATTTGCATGTATCTTAGAAAAACATAGATCCAAGGTTTATTAGGGTTGCATGTACACTTAGGAAGTGTTAGAATGCTCAAAACCCAACAGTTACAACCTTAGAGTATAACTCTATGATTGTTTTGGAATGAAGTATGAATCATGTTCTTGATTTAACCACTTCAACAATTCATAACTCCTCTTCTTAACTAACAGAATATACTTAGAGGATGAATTGTGATAAGGTCTCAAAATCATTAAGATGATCTTAAAACATGATACTAAAGTACTCTCCCATCTTTTCAGATTTGAGAAACCTTTATCCTTCTGCCTAATTTGATTCTTCTTATTCGTTTTGTCATACATTAAAAATTTTCCAATGCTTCAGAATTATACTTAAGCTTGTAAGTATAATCATATTTACTAAACCTTAGTAAATCATGATGAATAGTCTTATCCATCTTTTGTGGTGGACTTGACCAGTGCACCAGAATGTGTACTCGATCGCTTAGTCCTTCACTTGACTCACACATCCATGTGAACAAGTAATTAGTCTTAATTTTTTCAATACTTGAAAGTTCTCATTCATCATGCTATACAACTTGCATGATTCCAAGTTCCGGTCCACTTGAAACTTGGGTGATGAGAATCTTTCCTTATTTGGTAAATTTATACATTACAATAAATGAGAGAATCAAATTCATATTTCCAATATTGCTATCAATGGAATCATATAAGAAACTTCTTTTCCTTTTTCTACAAAATGCCATTGTAAGGATATTTTTTTAAAATAAACAATAATAAAAACTTTTCTTTTATTTTAAAACTTTGCGGAAAAACTAATCCTTACTATGCAAATGTATATGAAAACTTGTTGTTATCTATTCCTAAGCAATCTATCATAACTCTCAAGCATGTGCTCAAAATTCTGATCACCGAACAACACGATTGAAATCCATCTTCGCGATCAGAATCAGCATATACTTCGTTTAAGTTTCTTTACTTTTCTTTGACTCTTAAAACATCAACATGTGACCCAGCCACATCGTATAATAAGAATCTCCAAGTAGGAACTTAATAGAGTTAGACAGTGGACTTTACCTAAAATAAAGTCAAACTTATTGACTTTATCATCCTTAGGTAAGTCTGGCAGCTTCATAACCAAAGCCCCTTCCTTTGGCAATAGAAATATATGGACCCTTAGGTAATAGTACATGGGACTATCTTAGACTTAGCCTTTCTCTTTACCATTTGGTCAACCAAGTTGACTATGGCCAATCCCTTAGCATTGGGAAGAGAATGCATTTCTGGATTTCCTGTGTCAGTATTGTCGTTGTCCATAAAGTTTTGGGAAGTTGATCTCCTAATCAAATTTGCTTTACTAGTACACTAAATCATTTCTAATTTAGCAGCACCAAGCAAATAGATAAGATCATTAAGGATCTTTTCATAGTCTATTTCATAGCTATCCGAAAGGAACTCACTATGTGACTTAGAAAGTGATTGAGCCACCAACTTTCTCAAGACTTTGACACCCAACTCTCCCAACTTGTCAATATGTGACTACAACTCCAAGATGTGATCACACATAGACCTTGCCTTGCCAATAAGGCTTGAGTGACCTTGAACTTGTGGGTTAGGGATAATAATTGGAGGAGGTGGAGGAAGTGAAGTTCCAAGATATTTGGGAAGATCATAGATGTCTGAACTTGACATCTCTTGGGAGATATTCAAGATAGTTGATTTAAGGTCCTTAATATAACACCTAATATGAAATATTAAGGCTAGGACCCAACAAACTATTTTATAACTTGGAAGAGGGATGCCGTAATCCAAGCTATAGAATATTTGAAGGTAGGTGAATGACGATTCACCAATTTCCATCATGAAAAATGAAATAATTAATTAGGTTTTAATTGGATTTGAAATTCCTAGATCTTTGAGATTCACTGAACTGCTCAATGGAATGTTTCAATCTCGAGTGTGCCCTTCAGGTTTTGTGACTTGGATGCTGAGGATCACAAAACAAGGTGTGAAGTAACCATGCAAATTACTTGGTACCCTTAAGTGTTTACCCCTCAACCGATGTGCCGGTTAACCACACACGCTCCATCGCTACTATGATAAACATTAAGTTACCCTTTGTCAACCTTGTTAAATATGAGTTAGTTTGCCAGTTAACCACACACGCTCCACTAACCGACTTAAACAAAGTGCAAAGTGTAATTTCATGGATTTGCACCTTATTCACATTTTCCTAAGTAACTAAGATTGGGTATTATTAAGAGTTTAGTTACTTAGTATTTATAATTAATACTTTTAATGATGGGAGAATTATAGTCCTGTCAAACCCGTTCGGCTAACGACCCTCCACCAGTCAAGGAAGCAGTAGGTGAGAGTGGACACCCATTAAACTGTCATTTTATAAGCAGTAACCTTATACCCCCCTTATAGACTGACTTCGTGAATGAGGCCTACTTACGGTAAGACTAACTTTACTCTTATACATATATATATATATATATATATATATATATATATATATATATATATATATATATATATATTATTAACTTATAATATTATAAAGTATAAGGGTTTAATTTTAACTTTTAAAATTCTAAGGGCTAACATGGAATTAAAGTATTCATAAGTGAAAACTTTTTCAAATTCCAAAACTTGAGGGCACGTTTTGAAACTATTCAAAACTAATTAATTCCATAACTTATGTGTTTAAAGTAGTTTTAATCCAAAAACTCTTCAAGTTCCATAACTTGAGGACAAGTTATGGAAGACTTTAAACTAATAAAAAATTAACTTTTCTTTATTTTATAACTTATGGAATTAATTAAGGTTACACTTTTTTTTATTATTATTTAATGAAGAGACTCTTGGTTCTCCATAACCTGAGGATAAGTTATGGAATCATAAAACCATTTAATAAGGAAAGACTCTTCATTTTTTTTTGTACCCTAAGGAATTTTTTATGAGTTTTTAAGATTCATAAATGTGACTTTTCATATAATTTGAGGACAAGTTACAAAAACACATTTTATGAACAACTTTTAGATTAATTTGGATTGAAAACTATTAACACATATTTTTCATTAATCTAAAAATAACTCATAAAACAAGGTA